GACTCTGGACTTGAACAAGGGGCCCCACCCTCTGATCACTGGCCTAAGAGGGACTTTCGGTTCTTGGTCGGACCAAAACCAGGTTGTTCATTAGATGAGCAGTGGTATTTAAGGAGCAAGATGTAACTCAGGGGTAAAACGGTAATTTGACCCAGCTAGAGTTAGGAGCACTCGTAAAGGATTGACTTGCCGTTAATGGTCGTACATCCTTGGACACGAAAATATTCTGTAGTGAGAAGAGTGCAGTTGCGGGTGTTTAGTGGAGTGACCCGCAATTAACGAATGTTGATTAACTCGGTTAAATGAGTTTGACTGATTAATCTCGTATCTTTGGAGCTTCTGATCTGTACGTCCATTAGGTCCCCTTGCTAGCTGACAATGGGTAAAACCAGGATCAAGATTTTGAGAGAATTTGAAATGTTCAAATTATATATCAGGAAATATGTATAATGTATATATTATGATACATTATATATATAGTTTATTTTTTTAATAAAGATTCAATAATTAAACTACATGTTAGCAGAGAAATATCTAAATAGGATTCAAATAATTAAAACATCTTGAGGTAAAGCGTGATGCACCCATCTGGGGGTTATCCGCTGTCTCTCCCTCTACTAGAAGGTGAAGACTTACAGAGTCAGGGATGTTATAACCTATACGAAGGGGATCTAGGTAGTTCTCGTGTATTTTAGAGGGGTACTCATTCCCCTTGTTTGAGGTGGAAGCATTGTTATTACTTCCCTCCTCTTCCGAGGCCCTGAAATTCTCTACCTCCTATAACTCATCATTTAACCTATTTACTAAGTCCTCACTAGAGGTAAATCTGCTAGGGACGAGGTGCCCGCCGGTTCTGATCTAACCTATCAGACGAGCTACTACTGGAACTAGACATGACACGAAACGGAAACAAAAGATATTACGAGGGAAAAAGACTGACCTAGAACGAAGTTTCGAGTTGCTCAGGCCGGACTCAAGTATTTCTCAGAAACAAAAGGCGTGAAAGACGGAGTTGGATCTTGAAAATTATCTGTGGTAAAGCAAAAATTCATCCTAACCTTACACGTGTCATCGAGTTAAAGGTTCAGATCGGATATGGTATACCAAGCGTCAGAGCACTCAATTACTCTGACATGCCGACTATTTGTCTTCTCCAATGGTTATATTATTTCATCTCGATCTGGGAAGTCACCACTTAGGGAGATTTTCAAACCCAGCAAAAACTTATCTACCAAGTCTAAAAATGTTTAAAAAATTACCTACAATAGATGAAGAGCTAAAAGATATCAACGTCTAAATTATATACTTTAATAAAATATAAAGAAAAAAAGAGTTTTTTATAAAATTAAAAATAATATAAAATTGGTTTTAAAGAGTTTTGTCTGACTTATTTAGACTTTTAAAATATTAAATTAAAAATTATATAAAATAAGAGTAATCGAATCTCGAAAATGTGGTGATTTATAGACAAGAAAAAAATATATTTGTATTTATAGTGAAAAAAGTCCACATAAAACGGTAACATGTAAATTGAAAATAAACCAAAGCCTTCAAGTTACCAGTAACAATTAGACCAAAGAGACCATAAACATATTTGTATAAATTTAAAATAATTTATTTTAGATTCAAAACAGCAGGAGATGTGGCTGCACCAAGAATGAAATTACTTTTGTAAAACTATGGTTTGAATATCCCATAAACCTATTTCTTTTATTTTTTAAAAAAATTGACATATTTGTACATAGAATCATTAATTGTATGATTTTTCTCTCCTTTTTCAAAAACCGACATATTAACATAATGAGAATAGGAATAATAGCAC